ACTTCTCACATGTTTTTGAATGAAATTAAACTTTAAAAAAATGTTTTTTATGCTTATTTTGTAGGTCTATCTGTTAGAAACGAAACACAACTAAAACGGAGCAAAACGGAGCTGAAACGAAGCCGAACGGAGCGAAGCAGTGGAGCTGTTGTAGACCGGCATTGATGGCGCTCAAGTCCAGAGAAGCGATGAAAAATGGCACCAACGGTGCCCAGACCAGCGACGACGGCGCCCGAGACGATTATGGATGGATTTTTGGCGGTTTTTGATATTCTAGAATGCTTCAAGTGATTCGAACACTCCATGAAGTGATTCAATGCATCTAGACACTTTTAAGCGCCAGAAGCCCCATGCTTAAGCTCCAGTGGCAGTTATTGGATGATTAAATTCAGTTTTTGCAAATTTTGAAGAGGTTTTTGAGGCACCTATTGGCTTAATAGGTGGTCACAAAATTATTGCGAGGCTGCATATCTTGGGGAAATACATTGAATCAAGACACATTTTGAAGAGAACATGTAAGAACCGGGCTGGTATTGTCTCAATCAATAAATGAAAAGAATCACATGAGGTTGTACGAATGAATGTAGTTCATATGATTGAGTGCAAATAAATAGGGAAATATTCATTGAAGGGTGTAGAGTTAGAGGACTTAGCTCTTGGAGAAAAGGGGGGATTTTGCGCCTTTTTAAAAGAGAGGGGCCAGCGCCTCACTTATTGGACGTGTGTGTGTGGGGGTGTGTGAGTGCATGTGTGTGTGAGTGAGTGTGTGTGAGTGTAGAGTAAAGTCTTGTTTATGGAGAGGATTTTCTTGAAGAATTGTAAGAGGAGAAGGAATGTGAGAGATTTCTTCTCTATTACATTTCTAAGACTATTACATTTCTAAGAGAACATTTCTAAGAGAGAACTCAGTGTTGGTTGTAAAGAGACAAAGTGCTTCAAGGGAACTTCAAGAGATTTGCTTGAGGAGGAGTTTAAGATCAATTGTGTTCTTTCATTTCTTTTTATTATAAACTTTTTATATATATAAAATATGTGTTTTGTCGTATCTTCCTCATGAATTTTGAGTAGCCTTCTTTGTCTTTCTCTCTGCAATGAGATATGGTGAAAAGGAGAGATGATTTGGATGTGCCATTTAAATGTTAAATAATTGTGATGATTTTTCACTCTGTTCTTAATTTACTTTTTGATTTGGTCAATTGAAATGTTAACATCTGTTGTGAAACATACTATCCGGGAAATGGAGTATGAGTTTCATAACAAAGTGAGAATCACATTCGATTCCATGAAAGAGTGATTCGTTTAAGGAATTAAGTGCAAATAAATAGGGAAATATATATATTACTGGGCAAAGAATTGGAGATTCTAGGATGACAGACTAAAATCCCCAATTTGGTCATTGTGTTTAAAAAATGAAGGGAGCGTTAGCCTTCAAAGGAAGGTAAGTGGGAGCTTTGGAGTGAGAGCCAGTATCCTCCCATCCTAATCACGATTTTAGGGACTAAACCTAAGATTAGCCAATGTAATTAACATTTAAGTTTGGGGGACTTTGATGCATCAAAAATATATGCATTTTTAGACCTACTAGAAAATTAAAACTGGTCATATTTGGCACAACACAAATTCAAACCATTTATCTCTATCATTAACCAAAAATTCATTGTAGTGGGATGGATACTTTCTTAAATTTGAACTCTTCATCACAAAACTTTGTTTAGTCTCTTTGTTTAGTTTTCATATGTTTCATCACAAAACTTTGTTTAGTCTTAGTAAATTTAACTTTAAAGTTTAGAAATTACAGTTTCGTTAGCATACATTAAAACATACATTAAAATCACTCTAATCAACCTTCCAAGCTAATTGTTTATAGTAGTAGACTAGAATTAGGCTAAGGATTTTTTACCTTGCTTATTCGTGGGATCAATACTGAGGCTTTTAAAGAAAGTCCTGTATTACTTGAAGTGATACGTGCACTTGCGTATAACTACTATTGTGTGAACTATTTATATATTTTATAAATATTTTGATTTTTCACATTAACTACTTAATATAAATTGAGTCATTTGAAAAGCTAAATTATTGCGTAATTTCGGGACATGCCAAGTTCTTGGCACTGTTACCATAGATTTAAATTGACATAAAAAATGTAGAAAAATAACACACACTAGGGGCGCATCAGAGAGCACACACATCGAAATAGGGATGAAAGAGGAAGGCTAGGGTGGCGACGAAACCTGAACCTGCTACGACGCTTTCCTTCCCTTCTTCTTCGAGTATGACAACGCGTCGAGAACAGCAGACGATGCAAACGAGTGAGAGGTTGGGGCTCGACGAGGAGACAAAAGAAGCGACACGATCCCCCTCCCTTCCTCTTCGAGGACGATGAGTCGACGAACAGCTGCGGTTAACGGAACCACCATGAAGTCGCCGGAGAAAACCCTAGCAGAGCGACAATGAACATCTTGGTCATTAAATATATATATTGTATATATATATATATGTTATATATGTATAGATACATACAAACATTTCAACTTGAACTCTTACCTCTTTAAATATCAATAAAAGATGGACACCGTGCAAGTTCTTAACTTTTTACAGGATTGTCAAAAAAATTGATGAGTTGCTGAAGAGGAAGATCCATGAGGAGGAAAATTTTGTAATCATAACTAACAACATAAATAAAAAACACAATGAAATGAATAAGTCACCGTTCACATGCATAAGATATCCAGGATTTAGCTTAGATGCTAAATTAATGAAGTATAGAGGGTGAGGTGGAGGGAGTTAACATCATGATGAAAAGTGGAGAAATTGGGTAATCGTTCTAAGGATTATTTTGTTGAAGGATTCACTTAGCTTACCAAGTGGGAAGGCCAAGAAGCCATAACCTAAATGAAAGCCACTAAGCCCATTCTTAATAAAAATGTAAATCATTTCCAAAATTTTATTCAACATCAATAACTTTTATTATATAAGGATACCACTGAATTTTAGCATTATATCATAAAGAGGAAAAGAAAGAGAGAAAACATTGAATACATAAAATATTATATTAAAAAATTTAATTGGAATTTTAATTAACATAAAACTCTTATAAATCCCTTACTTGGGTGAATCTTTCGCGATCTTTCCTTCCTTGAAAATGAGTTAATAATGCAGATAGGAGTATTATCTTTAATATATTATATGCATAGCTAAAATCTGTCTCATTCTAAAGATTTTTGTCTCCAAAATTCTTGTTTTAAAGTTCAAGCATGCCTTAAAAGTCTTCATGATCCTTCATGCTTGTCTGAAAATCCAATATTCTATATAAGTTTTTCTTCTAAAATAAAAAAATTGGAAATATTTCCATATGTGTAATATTATCTTTTCAAGTTTATTTTAATGCTCCTTAGCTAAAATTTAAAAACATTAATGTACATAAGAACTTTTCAAATGTGGCTTGCCATCCCATTTTGGGTGGCAGGAATTGAATTAGCTTTGCTTTGAATTGATTTTAATTCAATATAATAATTTATGACATAAGTCATTACAAACAATTAATTGTTTGAAAAGTGCATGGCCAAGTAATTTTTTAAATGTTATGAATAATTTATAACACAAATATGATATGCACATGATTTCAGTAATAATTATATTATTATATAATAATTCATTGAATGCAGTATTGATATGAACTAACAATTATAATAATAGTAACTAAATATAATAATGTCATAAATTTAATATAACAATTTATTGCTGAACAACTTAAAAAAGTAATTATCTCATCTTACTTACTATCCTACATCAAAATAATTACGTAATTTAAGATTTAATAAATCCATTTAAAAAAAAGGTATATGTCCATGGATTCATTCACCATTGTTTCCTACTGCACAATTGATTAGAAGAAATCAAGTCTTGAATATTAGAACTAGTTGATAGCTTTAAGGAAAAGTAGATAAGGGCAAGTGGTGGAAGCATAGAAGGGTTGTAGGAGTTAAATACTCTAATTACATGATTAGATAGAAATTTAATTTATTGTATCTTTTCAATATTTGAATACTCTTAATATTAAATTCAATATTTTTTTTAAAATATCATTACTATTTATTTTATTTAATGAGAGAGCAAATTTCGTGTTGCCCAAAGTCTTACAGTTTTAACATATTTGTATTGGATGAAGCATTTCTTTGATATTGTAAACCAATAATCTTCACCTTTTAGATGTCTACAAGAAAGAAATCCTTGACATGGTTGGATTGGATGCTCATGTACACCATTAAAAGATGAGGATAAGTATCATAAGTTATGCGCTTTTGCATGACTCAAGTTTTCTACAAATTGGGATAAATAATATTGGCTTATTTCTGAGAACTCGCTTAATGTGAAGTTTTGAATGTTATGTGACTATAAACTCTGTTGCCCCACATTACAAACCGTTTAGAAAATAATGATTATATTTTTACTAATGCATCTCTAAGTTTTCTTAGTTGTTGACATTACTTTTCATAAATATTTATAAATGTAGAGGACCATCCCATATGGTGTACCATAATCTACAATAGGATAAACCATCAAGTTGTAAATAAATTTAATTTTTTTAAGTAATTTTTGCACATGTAGTCAAAAGCTTATTTGTAGCACATATTTAGAGTGTAAATTTCAAAGAAAAAAATTTGAGGTTACACTCAAACACATAATTTTTTAAGGATATTTATATAATTATTCACAACAAGTATGCTCTAAGTTCAATCATTTTTTGTGTACAATATGTACCTTGGTTTACAATAATCAGTGTAATGGCTGAATATTTAATTTTCTTATAATATGCACTCTTTTTTATGGCTATTATTTGTTAACTAAATGCATTTTATTATGTTATAGCTTTGTGATGGCATTCTCTCTTGCCTCAGCTTGTATCAAATAAAATTCAAACGGCAATTAAAAATTAAAATAATAGTATTTTTGATCTGATATGAGAAATTTGAGGGGTAGCTACTGGACAAAAAAGGCAGGCCCCCGACCATAAGATCTCGCGCGCAAAACCTTTTGATGAATTTGCCCTGCGCAGGGAGCACTACCCAACAATGAAAAGTGAGCTTGGTGATCCCTTCAAGCTCTCCTCCCTTACCAAGATCTCCATCTTCTTCCTCGCTTGCGTCGCCTCCTTCTACCTCGGCCGTAACTGGAACGATGGTTTCATGTATCCCCAGCTCGTCTTTTACAGTAACATCAATCCGACGGCCCCCGCCGACACTGCAAACCTATCGGTTATCATCTCTCCCAACCTCTACCATACCCCTGATATCTCCAACGTAGTATCCAACGGGTCCTTTCCCTCTGCTGATTTTCCACCGCCCGATGCGCTCTCTAGATCCCCGCCGCAACCCGTGAATCCTGAGAATGTTGGAATCGTGGACGCCAACGGAGCAATGCGAGAGGATTTCGATGCTGGGCCGTTCGATTCCGATCTGGGGGAGGAGGAATCACCATCTCGGGCGGGAAACGAGACGACTTATGAGATGAAGAAAAAGGATGGGACTAAGAGTGGGATCCAGAAGTTCTCGCTTTGTCCGGAGAGAATGAGGGAGTACATTCCTTGTATTGACAACGAGGAGGAGATCAAGAGATTGAATTCTACGGAGAGAGGAGAGAGATTTGAGCGGCACTGCCCGGCGAAGGAGCTGACTTTGAATTGCCTGGTTCCGGCACCGCAGGGCTACAGGGAGCCCATCCCATGGCCAATGAGCAGAGACGAGGTACTTATTTCTGATGTATTTCCTCTTTTTGTTTTTGGTAATTTCATTGCTACAACTTAAAGCAAAGCTTGGGAATGAAATTTTTCTCATGAATTAAGTGCTACTATCTGAGAGCTCCGTCACACCCCTCATTGACCTTCTCTAGGGAACCAAAGATGTAACAGATGAGGGCGGTTCAATCACATCTAATTTCCATTGACGTTATTCTAACTTTTACTCATCAGATTCGAGTGAATAGAAAATTATTCTTTCAGAATTGTCACCGAGCATAAAATTTTCTTTCAACTCCTCTAATATTTTTTTGGGGGTTTTACAGACATACCTCTGAATTCTTACACATATACATATCTAACACCTAATCGTCAATTTTTACTTATATGCCACCTTTTCTATGCATAAAAGAAGCGAAAAACAGCTTTTTATACAGAGGTATCGTGGCATGTATGTAAATACACCTTTTCATGCATAGATACGTTGGTATGTATGTAAAAACTAAGAATTTTGGCGTTAGATAAGTATATGCATTAGAATTCTGTGTTATGTATGTAGAACTTCCGACTTTTTAACAAATAATAATATAGAAACTTGTATAGAACAATCATCACGATAAAGTATCCAGACTTTCCATATAAGCTCCAAATATAAAATCATACATACTAAAAGTATTTATTTATGTTAGACAATGTTTTACCATCAATTCACCTGCTCATTTCTCTTTTCTGAAAATCATACTTATATTTTTTGGTGTGTGTTATGCCCAATGAGATAAACAATGTTAAAATAAGATTCAAACATAGTTAACTTAAATAATATATATCTAATTGTTGGTTAACATAAGCTTATTTATGATTTTAACAAGTTTAGTACATTATATTATATAAGCATAACTTGCTATTTAAATAAATAAAGAGAATATGATCATAAATATTAAATGTAATTATTGTTAGACTAAATATAGTTGTTCCTGGCAAAAGTTAGATTCATCTATTATAATACTTGCTTTAATATCTCTTTTTTTATTTTTATAACTCATTATTTTAGAAATATTATATGATATTTGCAGAAGCTTTGAACCAGTTAATTCATTAGGTGGTTACCTAATCCCTGACTTATACTGACCGTTGATAAAATTTGGCTAGTTCAAAATTGGGAAATACAACGATCCTTTGATGTCATTATCAAGAGTAACAAATCTATTTATTTTTACTAAGGCTCATCTCGTTAGAACTTTTGTCTTTTCCTGTGCAGGTCATCATCACATTCTGTTTACTTATCATAATACAACATGACATTTCTTTAATCATCTCTATTTTTTACATTATTTTCTTATATATATATATTTAAAATGAATATATCTGCTAACAATTAACATTATTATATCTACTAAAAATATAGTGCAACATATGATATTCAATATTTTTCCTTAATAATGCTTTTCTATAAACTTTTATGAAACTTTATAATAGGTAATCATTTGTATATGAATAAGTTGTTAACTGATTCGGCTATGCCCAGTAAGAGTGGCATTCTAAATGCAAATACATAATGAGTAGATTTTACTTATAAGCAATTCTAATTTTAGATTATAAAGAATTGTTTTTTATTTTAATAATTGAGTATCTTTTTAAGCTTTTGGAATTCCTTTTGAGACAAATTTCCTAATTTCCTTGTCTTCCTAACTTTGATGTTTTATACACAATTTGATAAAATCAATAAATTTAGCAATTTATAACAAACCTTTATCTATTAGTTCAAATCTATTAAAAATTTAATAAAATAATATTTTTACTTCAAAATTCATCACTATAAAATCTTTTGCACCCATAAATTTTCCAATCAAATCAACTCATTGAAAATGATATAAGAAAGTGATCTTTATCATAAAACCTAGCACTTCTTGTCTTTTCTTTCTCTTCCTTCTGTTTCCCTTCCTTTATTCTCTTCTTATTCTCCTTTATTTCTCTGTTTGCTCTCCTTTTCTTCTCCATATCTTCTTTCCAACTACTACCTTGGAGTTGTTTGCTCGCTGTTCCCAATTTGGCCGCCGTGCAATGATGGGAGAGAAGGAAATAAATTCTGCCATGTATATATATATATATATATATATATATATATGCTTTTTAAAACCCAAATAATCCATGTTAATTAAAATGATCTCAGCCCTTTAAATTAAACCCAGGATTACTTGCCTTTGAAAGTGGATTTTATTTTTGGCACGACAATGCTGCTACAATCCCTTTAACTTAAACCCAGGATTACTTGCCTTTGAAATTGGATTTTATTTTTGGCACGACAATGCTGCTACAATGACTTCTATAGTAACTTTAATAAAAAAATAAAATATTTTATTTAAATTAAAACTAATTAAATAACCTTCTTACAATTGAAAATTGGTATATATTTTTATATATCAAAATGATTGGGATAAAGCATAGAATTTTATAAAAATAATTTTGATGATATTTAAAAGATGCAAGAAATATTTTTATATGCTACAAGTACTCTAGTTGAATGCTAATTAGTTACGACAGAGGAGAAAAATAAACCTAGGTTTGACATTTTGTATCAATTCTTATAAAGTGTTGTCCATTTCCGTAGAAACTCTCAATTAACTATGTATGTTTATTTATTTTTTATGCAATATTTTCTTATTTTGTTTCAATCCATTCTCATTTCCTTAGTTGGAAATTTCTTTCATATTTAATTATAAATTTTTTTTGATAGTAAGAGCGGAGCTAGAACTATCGTAGTTTGCTTATTTTGAAGTAAGTCTTAGGTGGATTTTTTTTGTCTACAACTAAGTAATTTCCTAAGCCAAGGATTTAGAGGAGGTTTATCTATTAATTTTCATAGGGGCTGTTTGGATCATTGAAATTTTTCTAAGATAATCCAAATATATGGATTTTGAAGATCCTAGTGTTTTGTTTGAGGAAAAACAAAATGCTGAGTAATTTTTTGAAGCATTTAAAATTCATAATATAGATTATTTTCAATTTATTTTGAATTCTTCCAATTTTGGGTGAATTCTAAATACACCGCAAGAGTGAAGCTTTGTTGGCATCTCACCTCCATCGCTAATCTCTGGCCAATGCCCTCTGTCGTTGTTGTCATCGTCGCCTTCTGTGGCCAATGCCTAAGCGAACAATATCTTGATGAGTGAAATTTTGGGTTGTTACAAATGATATAAGAGCATTACACTAGGTTGAAAATGGGAAGAAAATGCTAGATTGAACAAAATGCTATGCAATAGGAGCCATCTCTTGAATCCTAGATGGAACAAAATGTTACATGGTGGGAGTCAGCTCTTGAATCTATAGGAGCGACCTCTAAAATCCTATGTGCCTGTTGAATGATTTTGGGTTAAAACAAGTGTCAAAGAAGATAATCACTCAAGTGAGGGAGATGGTGAAACCCATTAAGTATGATGAAGTTAAATTTTTAAGCATTGAGATGTTTTTTGGTGTAATAGTTGGAATTTCATCAAGAACTTTAAAATTAGACATGTCTGTATCGGAGCACTCCCATAATAGGCGACCTGCATGGAAGCTATATCGATGGGACAAAATTGTAAGGCCATTAGGTCAAAGCGAACAATTTCTTGATGCGCAAGAGTTTGGTTTGTTACAACTGCCGAAAGCTACCTTTACCGCCAACCTCCTCCTCTACTGCTGCTACTTATCGCCACCACACTGGCCCCCATCACCAACAAGCTCCTATTGTCGTCGTCGCCGTTGTTGTGACCATCTTTGCCATATGTATTTTACATTGATCGTTTTTCATCAAACTATATTAGAAAATATAAAATCATGCATTTATTTTGCTTCAAACCAAATAATATCAAAATATGCAACATAATGTAGATTAGTTTTACAATGTGTTCTTTTTTCTATAAATCATATTAAATTGTTGTTCATTTGAGGAGGAGCAAACATGAAGCAATCTTAAAATTTTTTGGGTATTTACATACACACCACCCAATTCCTATGTATTAACATATCAACCACCCAAACTTTGATTTTTATGTACAGAGTGCCTAATTCCTATTTTCTCAGCATAGGTTGGGTGGTCTGTATGTAAAAATTGATTTTTGGGTGGTTGATATGTTGATTCATTGGAATTGGGTGGTAGGCATCTAAATCTCTCTAAAATTTTTTAGTCCGGGCAAGTGGGTTGTAAGCCTCTAGTGCCTCTATTGCAACTCTGCCAATGAGTAATAGGTAATTGTTAACTATATGAAGTATAGAGACTCTCATGATGATATTAAAACTGAAAATTTTCTTTTTACAAACGAACAAGGTGATCATTACACAGTTACAAATAAAAAACTTCTTTACATAGTAGAAGTGATCAAATAAAAGTAGTTATTGTTGAAACACATTTTGCAACAGTCTTTTGTAATATGCAACATCCGTTTTAACAAGAAAATACTTACATAATATGAACTGTAAATCATTTTGAGGCTTTTATATTGTGTTCCCTGATGTTATATTAAGTTTAGTAAGCAATGGTTAGTCTATACTCCATCGAATCGTAGAGTAACCTGTTATATTGGAGTTTAAATGTGAAGTAGTCTTGTTTAGTTATGGCAGTTTCTCCCAACTATTATTGAACTGTCAGGAAATTACACTACTCACCGTCATCATTTGCATGTTACAATAAGTTATCTAATATTTAATTATTCCAAATATCTGAAAGCATCTAATTTTATTGCAGGTGTGGTTTAGCAATGTGCCACACACGCGTTTGGTTGAGGACAAAGGAGGGCAAAATTGGATAAAAAGGGACGGGGAAAAATTCAAATTTCCTGGAGGTGGCACCCAGTTTATACATGGAGCAGGCAGTTATCTAGACCAGATTACTAAGGTTTCATGCCTTCTATGGACATCTCATATATTACTTTGTTACATTTTAAAATCAGGCCTCTTTTTAGTTTTCCTTTCATGTTTAACTTTTTTCTTGAATTTATAGATGGTTCCAGACATTGCATTTGGGAATCTTACTAGAGTTGTCTTGGATGTTGGTTGTGGGGTTGCAAGTTTTGGGGCTTTCTTAATTTCACGAGATGTCATTACCATGTCTATAGCTCCAAAAGACATTCATGAGAACCAAATTCAGTTTGCTCTTGAACGTGGTGTGCCTGCAATGGTGGCAGCTTTTGCAACTCGCCGCTTACCGTATCCAAGCCAAGCTTTTGATCTGCTTCATTGCTCAAGATGCCGAATTAATTGGACTCGTGATGGTATTCAATTATTTTTTTTATACAACAGCATGCATGAAGGTCCGACACATGATAGATACTTTTTAATACATGTACTAGGAAATTAAAGTGAATAAAGGTTATGATATATATATTTTTTATTCTTCTGTCTTAAGGTCCTGGAATTGACAAACAATTTCCACTTTCCTAACAACATAGCATTTTATGAAACAGTTTTCTCTTAGATTTCCGTGTCTGCAAGGAAGGCGAACTTTTTTTTTTGTTTTGTTTTACTAGTTGTTATATTATTTACTCTCTCTCTCTCTCTCTCTCTC